AATAAACCCCAAGGACACTTCTAGAACTTTCAGATTGGAACTTTTGCAAGAGTGGGTGTTTGCTGCAGGCCCCTGTGAACTGAGCTCTTTTTTCCTTGCCCCTCTCATTTAAGCCTTCATTTGCACAGTGACTCTCCTGCTGTTCCAGGCTCACTGAGCAAATTTCTAAAGAAATATAAAAGCCAACTGAAAGGAAAATACTTCTTTTCAGTCTGTATCTGTCAAAGGGTACAGGTGCATGGACACCAAGGTTCATTTCGTAGGCCAGATGAGGCTCAAGTGCTGTGGTCAGTTTTAAGAAATTCTACAACACTTCATGGAACAGGATGTGGCCCAAAATTGTCAATTACAGCAACAAGTGTGAGGCAAAGCAATGTACCTCAGTGGTGTGGTTAGAAAGTGTGACTGTTCTTCATCTGAGAGATGAAACAGAAAAGTACTTATTCCAGAGGCTGTTATAGCTCACTTTGAAGGAACATTAAAAAATATCCTCGTTGAAAAAATAAATCCATGGATTTCTATTGCAAAGATTCTGGAATGATCTCTTCTCTTTTTCTGGAAGCCATAGAGTTTAACACCATGACTGCGAATTAAAATTTGTCAAATGTATTAAATTCCATCATAGGACATCATGAATGTTTGCTTATTAAAAATGCTTACAAGTGTAGTTACTGTTTGAAACAAAGGCATTTAGTAGAAGTCAGCTATGTGGGGAGAAAACCAACAAATCCCAAGAATTGCCTTTGATGAAGGTCAGAGAAGATAACGTTTTCAAAAAAAGAATTTTGCATTTTTCATCTGTCTTCCCTTAATTTTTATTTTTTTTTTAACCACCTGGCCAGTCCCAACCAATGCAAACCAAAAGGCAAAAGTCCCTACAAATTTTCCAAAACTTAATGACTGAAAAGAAGACTCACAGTGGGGAAAAGCCAGCACAATAGGGGTATGCAGTGCTTGGCACCAGCCAGCAGGTCTGTCAGCACATGAACTAGGCAGCCACAAGCACATGAAGAGCCTGCACAGTTTTCTTTGGCAAATTAAAACACATGCTGAGGAGTTAGAATAATTCTTGGGAGGAGGCAAGAGAAGCCAGCAGAAAAAGGACTGAAAGTTGAAACCAGACTTACTGGTTCTGCTTATTGCTCTGCTGCCTGGAACCTGCTGCTCTATTTGCAATTCTCTTCTACACAGCCCCCACTCCAAAAGTTCATTAAAACAGCTATGTCCTCAGAAGTATTTAATGGTAGTGATAAGAAAAATTCTGTGTACCTGTAAATAATAGCACATGCACAACAGGTAAGAGTGAGGTGTATAAATATCAGTGATTGTGTGCTTATGCCTTACCTCTTACCCTCTAACCATCTTACCTCTTCAACATATTTCCTGCCATGACCAACACGGAGCAAAGGAATCAATCCAAACGCATATAGATGGGCTAAGGGGCTCTATCCAGAACATGAGATTTAGTTGAGGAAACTGTTCCCATGGATAAAAACCTAAGCAAATTAGCTTCTTCAGTTTTCTGAGGAAAGCTCAGGTTTACCCAGAAGTAACATATTAGTTCAGATCCAACTCGTGTCTACAAGATCTACTCGTGGTTTTCTGCACATGATCAGGCTCCAGAGGTTAAGTATGAATACATCTACACATCCCTACCTGCAGTATCCACTGTCTGCACCTGCCTTTTCTCTGCACGAGTTAAACATGAGATGTGGAGGGGAGGAGAAGGGGCAGCTCTCATGGCACACACAGCATCACACCTGTAGCCAAGGATTTGGGAAGCACTGTGGTAAAGTTAGTCATCTTTATCCACAACTCAGACTTCACAAACGATTATAGAACTTCATAATCATACTGTCCATTTCCTCTGTGGCTGTATCACAAGATGCAAATGATCATTTTACTTCAGAATGCTTTGAAAGCAGCCTGTGATGAGTGAGCCATAGAAGAGGCAGTCAAGCCCCAGGACAAGTATCATTAGTATTCAACTTACCCAGGGCTGAGAAGCATTAATAGGAAAAGTAATGTGGGCCCTTCTCAGCTGTGTTTCTAATATGACTTACCAGCAAGAAAACAGAAAGATGGTACGTTTTATCATCTTGCACTAAGCTTCTGCCACAGCACAGAGGCACTGCACTCTGGTGCTAGAGTATGTGCAAAATGAGCCTTATACAACATTAGAAGACCAGAGATTACCAGATAACCAGACTCTAGCCCACAGAACTCTCCTCCAAAACACAGACTTCACTGGACATAAGCCAGCTAAACAGAATGTCAGCCCAGGAGGCCACAGCAAATGAGAACTAAAAAGAGGAAAAAAAAAACACTTGCCACAGGGCAATTTTTCCATTCCACCTTAAGAGTGGTGGAAAACGGAAGAAGCAACAGGGTTTCTTACAACACCTCAGGGATGAATCTACAACCTGGAGAAGCTTCTGTGGGAAGGACTGACTTTTTCTGAGCTGGCTCATGCTCAGTACAGCTGGTGACCCTTCCTCTCAAAGCTGTAGACAGTGAGTATGTACATACATGTACATACCATATCAGCCAGCAGAAGTGGGGGATCATCTCTTCTCTTAATGACATGAAAACCTCTCTCTGCCATTAATGACAGAGTTGCTATCCTGCATTGCAACGCTGCTGAGTACCAAAAAGTTAGAATACCTCATTCAAGAAGTGATTCCAGGCAGTGTTCTGCAAAACACCAGGCTGCTACACTGCTTGGACGCAAACTTAACATCAGATTTCCCAGTAGTGCTGCTGAGGTCAGTGTGGTTTCTCCCCTGTATGGCATCAGGGGATGATTGCATCTTTGGCTTCCACTTCCTTGCAGCTCACATTCATGTTACAAATGAGTTTAGCAGGCATTCCACTAAAGCAGCAGGTACCTTACACTGGCTTACTGTCTACTTTTGCCATGGCTTTTGCCTGGTTGCATGGTATGTGTAAGATGAAAAGAACCAAACCAAAAGGAACAAAGAATGTGCATGCATATACAACTAAACCAATCAGCATGTTCTCTACCTGCAAGACCTGCAGATTGTTGCTAAGGTTACAGAGCAGCCAAGGAGTCAATTATTTGAGCTCAGTTCTTGGCTCAATCTTAATTTGCCTGAGAAATCTGGGGGAACTGACTTCCACATGCTGCATTCACACTGACATCATCAAGAATTTGCAAAACTAGAAGTAACCAGCTGAGGCAAGGCCTGGAGATAAGAGCTGGGGAAACTTCAGACTTACATGAATTGATATTTGCTCCAGGCTTTGCACTTTTTCAACATATAATGATCCCAGTCTCTAAATTGGAAAGACATGGATTAGACAGATGGATCACTTGGTGGAAAAGGAGTTGCTAGGATAGCCACACTCCAAGAGTTGTGGTCAACAGCTCAATGTCCAAACAGAGGGCAGTAACTAGAAGAATTCTTCAGAGGTCAGTATTGGGACAAGCACAGTCAAACATCTTTGTTGGTGTCATGAGCGGTGGCATTGAGTGCATCCTCAGCAAGTTTATTAATGACATCAAACTGTGTGGTGCAGTTGACACACTGGAGGGAAAGGATGCCATCCAGAGGGACCTTCACAGGCTTGAGAGCTGGGCCAGTGCAAAGTGCATGAAGTTCAACAAGGCCAAGCACAAGATCCTGCACAAGGGTTGGGGCAACCCCAAGCACAAATACAGGTTGGGCAGAGATTGGATTGAGAGCAGCCCTGAGGAAAAGGACTTGGGGGTGTTGGTTGATGAGAAGCTCAACATGAGCCAGCAATGTGAGCTTGCAGGCCAGAAAGCCAACCGTGTCCTGGGCTGCATCAAAAAATGTGTAGCCAGCAGATCAAGGGAGGTGATTCTCCCCTTCTACTCTGGTCTCACGAAACCTCACTTGGTGTCCAGTTTTGGAGACTCCAACACAAGAAGGACATGGACCTCCTGGAGCAAGTCCAGAGGAGGATCACAAAGAAAATCCAAGGGCTGGAGCACCTCTCCTATGAAGACAGGCTGAGAGAATTGAGATTGTTCAATCTGGAGAAGGAAAGGCTCAAGGGAGACCTTACAGCAGCCTTCCAGTACCTGAAGGGGACCTACTAGAATGCTGGGGAGGGAATTTTTACATGTAGGGATAGGAAAGGGGGTAATGGATTAAAACTGGAAGAGTGGAGATGTAGGCTAGATATAAAGAAAAAATTTTTTACAGTGAAGGTGGTGAGACCCTGGAACAGGTTGCCAAGAGAAGCTGTGGCTGCCCCCTCCCTGGAAGTGCTGAAGGCCAGGTTGGATGGGGCTTTGAGCAACCTGGTCTAGTGAGAGGTGTCCCTGCCCATGGCATGGGGGTTGGAACTAGATGGTCTTTAAGTTCCCTTCCAACCCAAACCATTCTATGATTCTATGAAATAACAGAGAAAACAGAGGAGTTTTGATAAGCTCCACCACACATGGGAAATAGGAGTAATACCCCTCCAAAGCTTTGTGTCAAAGTGACCAAACACCTACAGCCACTATGGGAAAAGCCAAGGCGTTCCTGTTCCCATCATCCTCTAGCTCACAGTTCCCCTTTTTAAGTGGTCCATTGGTCAAAGAGGTAACTCTGAATGTCACTTTGTACCGCTGTGGTGCAGCTTAGCCACAGCTCTCTAAATCAAGGTGGGAAAGGACAGGAACATTTATTAAAGGTTTCCACTACAGAACAGAAGCTCTCACTTTTTGCAGCTTGTAATAAACCCTGCTTGCAAACGTAGAAGCAAGTGCAACCACAGCAGGGTTTGAGCAGGAAAAGCCTCCACAGGGGGGCTAGTGAGGGACGGGTGGCGGAGAGAAGGTGGTTCTCTGTCACCAGAAAAAGTACTGCCACTCAATTTTTTCCACTTACAGTCAGGCCCACCATGACGCCCCTAAAGTTAACACAAAAACTGACCACTGAATGACAACATATAAACACTGTTGAAGAGGGTTGGCAATAGCCACTTTCTTCTTTCTTCTCTGCTTGACAATGAAGCCACCAGCAATGAAACTCCACACTGCAGCTGTCCTTCTCATCTTCTGCCTTGCCATCCTCACTGTGCACGTGGTGAAAGGTAAGTTTACAACCCAAAGGAAGACAGGAATTTCTCCACATTGCACTAGTGGTCTGATGAGCAGGATTCATTCTCAGACAGAGCTGATTCTTAAGATAAAACTCATAAGAAATCCAGATCAGGACCATAAGAAAGGCAGCTTTATGGGAAATTTCACCTGATGTCCTGTCAATTAGTGTTGGCTTCTGCCTTAAGGCAAGGAGAGTTTCTGTATCTTAGAACACTTAAATTATTTCTGTGCATTATTCTGTCTCTTAAACTAATGAAATCTTCAAGACACAATGTTTTTCAATTTCACTGATGCCATATAGCAATGAGTTAAATATGTTAATAATATCTTATGAAAAATATTTAAGATGTGCTTTTTTCTTTTTCCATATATACTATTTTAATATGTATTTTATTAGATTTTTTTTGTCTTTCTCTAACTATATAGTTTGAATCCCTCTTAATGACCCTATCTTAAAAAGTACTTCTCGTTCTGTATCATATATTGCATGTTTGCTTGTTTCTAGCCAAATATTCTTGTACAGTCAGGCAAACAATAAACAGAAACTGCAAAGGAGAGCAATGGATTTATACTATGACTTCTCTGTCTTTCTGATTTCATACAATTTAACATCTTGAAATCACTTATGAGCACTGAGATGAGCCATGTTTATTAGCCATGCTTTAAGTAAGTTTGTCTACAGTGATGTTTAAGTCTCTGACTTAGGATTAGGCTGTGTGCATCACATGAAAACATGAACACACACACATAAGCACACACCTTCTTGTACACAGTCAGATTCATGCAGACATGCACATAAAAATCACAGAAAGCACTCATGTGCAAACCCACAAAAATATGCAAAGAGAAACACACAGAGAAGCCATCCTCACCAAACCAAAACCAAACTGAGACCTCCTATGCATTCACAAGATGATGTAGCTACACATTGAGTGTACTGACCTAGTGTTCCCAGAGCTACATTCTCATACGTAATTAATGCTGCTGCTGTTCATCTCAGCAACATGTGGCTTTGTATCAGGCTGGCAGTTCCTCGTGTCATTCTCTAGGTTGTATAATCTGCCATAAATATCACCGAGTCTGAAAAAGCACAGAGATGCTGTGTAAGGGATAGAAAAAAAAATTAGAAAGAAGAATTATAAAGAAGAAGAAACAAAAAGGCATCAGGAAGAAAAACAAAACAGAAACAAAACAAAAACGGTAGTTACAGGTGCAGAGCTGTTTGTTTCCAGGCTTAGAGAAGCTCTGCAGGTATTCCCTGCTTGCATTCCCTGAAAACCAATTTGAGTGAGGCAGTAAGATACATATTTGTGATGAAGCATCAAAAAATACATCACATTACTCGCGACTGAAGTTTTCAAAATGTGGCGTTAAAGATCTCAAAGATAGTCAAGCGATCCTTACTAGTTCTGAAAATATTCTCTCTACTACTAAATTCTCTCCAGGGAATCCAAGCAGGGAATACCTGCAGAGCTTCTCTAAGCCTGGAAACAAACAGCTCTGCACCTGTAACTACCATTTTTTTTTCTGTCCCCCTCATGTCTTCCCAAACCTGTGTTTGATAGGTGGGAGAAAACCAGAAACTAGCAAGCAGAAGCTCCCAGTAGTGTATACATACACTCCATCTCTCTTAAATGAGCTCCCATTTTTAGCTGTTAACAACTGCCCGGAGAATGTTATGCTGATATCACAGTCCTCTTTATTAATCACCAGTGGATTTCCCTGAAACATATGAAAACATTGGAGGAAAGAGTAAGTAGCACTCCATTGCCTATGTAACCAGACTTACAGCAAGAGTTTGCAAGTACTCAATCTTCTGGCAGACACACCTCCCTTTCTTTCAGCAATTTAATGCTAGCTTAGGATGCCCAGAGTGAGAAAAGTAGCCTTGCTTTCCTTTTCTTCACTTGGAAATTAGGGGGAAGTACTGATGCAAATTTAGATGGCATTTGGAAATCCACCAAGTAAAGGTACCAGTTCTAAGCACTACTCCACATGGACACTTTGCAGCTGATACAGACCTAATTATGAATTATGCCAAATACCTTTTTTGCTATGGAAGCAATGATGCCCCAGGGTAGAATGATTATACCACTGTTCAGAAGAATGGGTGAATATCAGCATCTTAATTGAAATAGCAATAATAGGCGACAGTAGGATGCATCAAACATACCTTAAGCTCTCTTGTGTAGCTGGCATTGTGGTTGTACAACATGAGACACTCATGCTCTAGCCACAAGTGAAAATCTGCTGGAATTTTAGTAAATATGGCTAAATATGAATGTAGTATTGACTGCCTTTGTCATTTAACTATTTTTCCCTTTCTAGGGAGTGTTGCAAGTCAGTCCATGCACAAATCCCGTTGCATAACTCTATCTACACAGCAACTGAACATCCGAAACCTTGTTGGCTATGAAAAGCAAAGACATCCAATAGAGGCCATCATGTAAGTATCCAGTGCACAGTTCACCTTCAGACTCCCCTGTGCAAACACCACAGCTAGCTCTGTGCTAGCACCAAAAAGGGAAAGAACACCATAAGGCACTTTATGGCCCATCTCACTACATCTGGCTAGTTCAGGTCACCCTTCAAGTTCCCCCATGAAGCAGTCACCTGGCAGAGTGAGGGGAGAGGTGTGGGCCTTGGAGAGTTGGGAGATGAATGCAGCTCACAGCTGGCAGAAATCTCACTGAACAGCCACAACTTTTGTGCCCAAAAAGTGGGAGAAAAAATCTCAGCAACGGGTCGGGGTGGAGTAGTCAGAAGCCCAGCGCACTGAACTAAACCAAGGTGAAAGATCATAGAGAAGAGTTTGGGGTAACTTTGACTCCTGCTAGGAGCTTTGTCTTTTGATCTCAGCAGCAGGCATTTTTATCATATCTGGGATCTGCTTCTAGGAGGCATATGTGCATCATGATTTCATATAAAATCTCAGAATATCAGTTATGTTTCTTTTTAATATGTCAGCCATGTATGTTACATAGCTGCCTGTGCCATAAATAGAGAACTACTGTTGCTAACTGCTGTTATTCCAACAAAAAACTACAAACTTGGGCATGTGATACTGTTTTACCACGTTTTCCTGATGGTCTACATAAAAACCAGGAACAGTAAACCTGGATTTGGAGACTGAAATTTGATGACCACCTGTTTTGCTTTCTTTCAACCTAAAGGTTTATCACCAGAAAAGGTATCAAGATCTGCACAAGCCCTAATGATAAATGGGTGCGGGATGCTATGAAGAAATTAGACCAAAAACGTACAACCAGAGGCAAATAATCCTGTCCTAGGAGAGCATCTAATGCCAACTAAATGGAATCATCACCAGTGCTGCACATAACAGGGAAGAAAGCATTAGGATCTGCTTTTAATTCCTATTTAACTGGCAATTAAAACTCTGAATGAACACAAATTCACTAGAATCTGTTCATCACTCATTGAATGTCTGCTGACGTCTTTGTTTTACAGTTGTATTCTGTTACACTGTTTATTTTCCGAAATGCCTGCTAATATTTATTCACAATTGAATGCAGATACCTTCTCATCTTTGCTATCCTGAGCAGTATTTAAGGATGAATGGCAGATAGTTTCACATTATATAGGGAAGAAGTTGAGCTCCCACAGAGGTGGATGAGGTTGGACCTCCAACCTGATGGAGGTCAGAATGTTCTGCGTTGTGTGCTACAGAAGGTAGTGGTTACTCATACATATATAATCAATAAGTGAACTAAAGTCATGCTTCAGGCTATCACCTGATTAGTGCAATATTAAGAAGATGATGATCCTTGGGTCTTCTATTTTTATAATCAGTATTGCACTATTAGCTTAGTCCATGATGATGTGTGAAAACTCTCATCAAAGGATGACCTGATGTAATTCAGAGTAGAAACTCTATGAATGTAACCATATTCAGCCTTACACTGGGGAACATTTATCCTACCCACTGACTTTTTGTGAAGTTACTTCTGTTTCACCCTCAAGTGAGACAAACCTGAAACAATTATTTTACTTTTTTCTTTGCTTTTGTCTGAATAAGCAAGAACAAAGCACACCTGGAATCTGTATTTCACAAACTCAGAGGAACTCCCTGCCCTGTAAAACTATGTATATAAAAATGCCATATATTTTTATAATTCATAAATTCTACAAACAGGAGGTTTTCAATTTTAATAAAGCTGTTATAAAGCTGGAATAAAATGGTACTTTTGTCTGCTTATATGTAATGCAGATGGACACTGTTGAAATGGGTACCAAGACGACAGCACAAAGCTTCTGGGCAAGCCAGTTAGAGCTGATACTTCTGCCAACTCATTCCTCAGATTGTTCAAAAGTAATCTGCTTCTGAGGTTTCTTCACCATGTTTCAGCTGTAAAGACTCCATTTCAGACAATACCTTTTCAAGAGTTTGAGCACTTACTAGCCATACAAAGCTTATGAAGTCACACAACTCCATACAACACCAGGGTGATACCCACATTATCAGAAGCACAGACAGAAGAGCTCTTGGCAGAGAGAGAAAAAACTGACATTGGAAGAGCCTTGGGGAGAAAGGGCAGCTATAGGCAAAGGAGATCCAGCAATAAACTTATTCTGGTACTACTGCATGCTACTGCTGAACTGTGGGCTTTTCATCACAAATAGCCTCTTACTAATACACATGACAGTGAAACACTTCAAAACTACACTATAGAAATAAGATCAGGTTACTCTAAAAGCCAGTCTTTACAGTTCCCTGCTTTGGTAAAGTTTGCAGACAGAATTTATCTCCCATGGCTCATGTTTTGTCATAGCTCAGTCTTGTCTAGGGAAATTAATTTAGATTTTACTATCCAGAACAGGTTTTAAAGCAGTGCTGCTGGGCAGGCAGGGAAGAGAAGGATGAGTGTGTGTGTCACAGAACAGATCCAAGGCTGGCTACCGAGCCTCCACTGTACAGTGTGATGCTTCCCTTCTGAAGTTCTCTGCATCAACTGCACTAGACAAAAAATAGTGCTACAAAGTTTGTAAGAAGAGCTTTGCAGGTAGAAAGAATTGTTGAGATGTGTCTAGGGTATGGCAATATATTAACTACTGTTCATTCATTTTGAGTTGTCAATCTCAAGGCCCCAGTCCCTTATATTATATACAGCAGAAACCATTCTGTTCCCTTCAGCATTATCAGAAGACCAGTGGGGTACAAAACCAGGTCACCTATAAAAGCATTTTCATGGTAGGCTCTCTCAGATGCATACCGTCAGATTCCACTGATCAAATTCACCCAGGACCAGAACTAACTAATATGTCTACACCAGGCAGAACTTCAGTGCCTTTGCTCATACTCAGTAGTTTCTTATCCTGGAATTAATCTTACTGAACTGAATTATTTTTAATTAGGACTATCACAACCTGAGGATACATTAATTATCATACAGCAATTAATACTTCATATCTGCTCAACCTTATCACAGTTCATAGCATGATTAATAATATTTTCTTAAGAGTGAATCATCCTACTTAATAATTACATCTTGTTTGTTATAACTTGCAAAATCTGTAACGGTCCTTGTGCACCTTTTGGGAGTTTGGGTGGCCAGTGCTCTCAACATCTCTTCCTACTCAGCCATTAAACCCCAGGGTCTTCCCTGTCTTTCCCTTACCATTCTTTACTCCAGCTCTTGCTGTGGTCCCAGTTGTGTGCTATTTTTGTCATCTCTGTGTATAATCTGGAAGCTTATCTGTACTGGTACTGCTCCTGCCTAGCACTTTTCCCTGAGGCTTTCAAAATGCTTTAGAAAGATTGTAAAATATTATTAAGCCTCCTTTTCACACACACATACAAAAGGAAAGTGCAAAATAAAAAACTAGAGTGCTGCTGTTGCTTTGGAGGCAAGTAAGAACCATATTCTTGGTCCTCTCCACATCCTTGGGAAACACCTTGCTTCGAGAAACAGGAGGTTGGGCTCCAAGGTATGTTTGAAGATCTGGAGCAGTGGTTGTGCACAGATGTCCTCCCTGTACCTGGCTGCCCACCATTTCTTCTCCAAGTAAGGTAGGAAGCAGGGATCACACAGTGAGTGCTTCCCTTCCTGCTCATCCTCTGCCAGATTGCAGCCTGTAATATGAGCACTGGTTTCCTTTTACTCCTTTTGGAAGATCTGTGCACCATTTGGCCAGAAAGGACCCTCCAAATACAGACGGCAGACCAGGGAGCAGCAACATGTGAAACAAGTCAACCATTTCTCTTCTGTCACACACCACTCTCACAGTTTCCAAAGGGGCTGAAGGGGTGCAGTGTGCTCAGGTCTTTTAGCACAGGGGAAAGACAGCAGAGAGCACAGTGGACACACCCTCAAGCTGTCTAAGTGCTCACGCACAGGGGAAAGACAGCAGAGAGCACAGTGGAAACACCCTCAAGCTAAGTGCTCACAGCTTCACTAACTTCAATAGAGGCAGACAATTACGCACCCACTTGGGCATGCTGGCTTTTTGCATTAAAAAGTATAGTTCTGGGTAATAACAGCTGTAACTGTGATCTTTTCACGGCCAAATGTGGAATGAGTAGTCTTGCAAACCCTCCCAAATCCTGGCATTGATGCTAATATGGTGTGTGATGAGGTACTAAACATATTAGTTATTACAACTAAAGAAGAGATGTGTGAAGTCTGAAATCTGGCCGAGGAATCAAGTAAGTTCCAGTAATTCACTTTATGTTTATCTGTTACTAAATTAGTTCAACTTAGCCCATACCAAATAATTACAGAGAGCATTTATAGGGCCAAATACAGAGATGGAGGTGCCCTCAGATATCTGAGGGCAACAGAATTAACGTTCTGATTCATTTTTAAAGCCACTTGACATTTACACAAATGACAAAGTGGTGGGCTGGTTAAAGGGGGATAATAGAGGAGGAAATACATAGAGTAGGGAACCCACAAGGAACAAAGCAATTGTTGCATGAGGGTGGTTGGGGGAAGGTCTAACAAAACCTCATTTTTACTCAGATACCAACTGTGGAAATTATCTTGCTTGCTTCAGCTGGAGCAAGCAAGGCTAGTTCTGAGGGCTTCATGAAGTCTTCCTTTTTGACTTGCTATACCCACGAGTTTGCTGTCATCTGGGGCTGACCAATCCTCACAGGCAGTAGTGAAGGAGGAGGGCATCTGCAGAAGGTTTTCTAGAGTACAGTGAACATGAGCAAAACCACACACCTTCCAAGTCTCCTAATATTCTTACAAATGTTGCCAGGCTCTCTTTGTAAGTGGTAGATCTTATGGAGAAATCATGCATTCCTATTTATTCCTCTAATTCTCATCTGTCAGTTCAACTGTGATTCTGAGGCACAATAAAGTCCTTCTGCCGCTTTACTTGGTGAGATTCTTTACTTGGCAAACACCAGTAGTGGCTTCTTGCTCAATTCCTGTGGCAGACAAGTGTCACTGGTGGTCTTCCAGTCAAGTGGTAAAGAGATCCAGAAATACTCACTCAGTCCAGCAGTGCCCTACAATCAGTATCCTTTCACTCAAGCAAAATTATTCCCTTTGATGCCAGCAAGAATTTAGCAGAACATGGATGGAGGACTTGCAGAATTTGGCCCTGCAATTTTACTGGCCAAAATCATGGTTGCTTTAGCTGATTATTCCCATGGGAATTCTTTTCACTGTTGCTCAAGTGGGTTACTGGAAAGTGCTTCCATGCTTCAGAAAAGCTGATTCAAATCTGATGGGAGGGAGGCAGGGTGGGAAGGTAATGTTAGTTCCAGATTGTTCAAATAAACAAACCTTTAGCTCCTTTTCTCTGCCAAGTTCTCTTGTGAAAAGTATTCAGTGCTTTATGAATGACTGCCTTTCTGCTTCTGGGTGGTAAGGGCAACCATAATTGCACAAGATCCTTCAGCCAGAGTCATCCTTCCAAGTCTCCAAAAGCAAGCTGGTACAGTCAGAGAGGAGTTAGTGATCCTTCACATACAGCTAGGTAAGACAAGAAGGCAAAAGAACTGCCAAGAATTAAAAAATACTGCATGAGATTGCATTTTCTTTATCTTTCTGTTCTTAACTCTGAAAACACTAATTGAACAGATTTAAGTTAACCAGTTTCAAGAAGCAAGTATGAGCACCCCAATAGATTCCTGCGTACTCCATCACTTGAAAAAGCTAGTGAAGCTCAGCATTGCTAGGGGAAGAAGGGGCATGCATTTGGGAGGCATAGCGACTATTTGGGTCTCCTAAGGTTCCTCCAGGATGCAGAGTCACATAGTCCTTCAATCAGGGTCTCTAACAAAGCCATTATTATGCCAGAGAAAA